TTTACGTTACGCCTTATCGGCAATTTCATTTGTCTACTCTCCAATTTTTTATTCAGAAATTTTTACTTGAAAATAATATTGCAAATAAAGTATGGTTCTTTTATAATGCATAATTATAGTATACTGACATTCGCACATTTAGTGTATCACTATAATTATAACTTAACTGAAAATTCCTTTTACGTGTAAGAAAAAATACATCTTCAGCCGTATGTACAATTAATAAAGTACGTATTAAAATATCATCGGTTGTACTTGAAAGTCAAGATATATTATTTTGTCGTATATTTAATAATTTATTGTAATAACGAAATTATTCGCAATTATGCGAAGAAATTCGATAATTAATGGGTTCTTAACAAAATAAATAAAGTGACAAGAGCTTAACTGCGTTTGACTAATTCATGGACATTCATTTTTCTCATAGTACCACTACATTAGAATTACAGATATTCTATATATTTAAATATAAAATTTAAATCATAATATGGATAGTACAGTAAATGGTTTTAAATGATGCAACTAGATGCTTGAAAAGGGATGTTGTTGTTGTTGTTGTTGTTGTTCCGACCTTCACCAAATCAATTACAACGCCATTATATTTTAATAACATATTCTTATGGTAAATAAATTAATTGTACCAAAATATAAATTGGCTTATTTTTACAATAATAATAGATAATTCTTTAGTGTTATAGTAAAATATATTTGAAGAATATCTTTAAAAATGATTGAAAATACTGATTTAACACAAATAATATTTAATTTAATACTTTTAACGCCCTCAGAGATATTATTAATATACTCGATTCATATTTAAATGTATATAAATAAATATTATTATATAAAAAATGCCAGTGAATTTACATTCTATATTTATAAAACACGTCGGATGAAAAAATTTTTTGATTATATGCACATAGGTGATTTTACATTCGACTATATATATATTCATTTTGACAAAAATCATATTTAGTAAAGATCATTTAAGAGAAAGATAAATAAATCTGTTTATAACTTATCGATTAGAAAATACATAAAATATGTTTATTAGGAATAAACACTTGTATAACTTAATATAGTATACATATCATTTATTGTAGACATTTTTTTAAATAAGAGCAATTATTTATTATAAAAATAATAAATTATTTATTTCAAAATTTGTCTCAAACTTACTGTAGTGTTAAATGATATTTTTAAACGTCAGTTTCAAAGTAAAAACTACTAATTGTAATATTGATTGGTCTTCATCATAATAACTATTATAGTGTATAGTGTATTAAGAATTTTTGAAACATTAAATGGATGAGAAAGTCATAGTGACGAAATTAGTTAACTCTACGGATTTAATTCTTACCAATTCTCTAAGAATACCATTTTTACTTTATCGTATACATTGGATTGGACTATGATTAGTGAGATTTCGTTATGCAATAGAAAATTCGTGCAAACTAATGTATATGAAAATGTTTAGGGTTTCCAAAATTCCACTTACTTTAGTACGTTAAATAAATTGTACCTTCAATTGATATTGTGCAATATAGTAATTCTAATCCATATGCTAATTTTAAATTAGATTTAAACCAATTTTACGTGTATTTAGAGTTTTTGGAAAAAATAAATCTTATACCGACAATTTATGCATCCTTGAGCTTAAAGTAAAAAACTAAAGCTATTCGTTTTAAGCGATAAAGTATAACTAAAAATGTTATATTGATATATATTCGACATTCTAGTATTAAATATTAAAGAAAAACTACGTAGTTTAAACTTGAAATATAGATTCGTTTTGATACCGATACATTCGTGTATATATATATATATATATATATATATATATATATATATATTCGATACATAATTTATATGATGAAAACTCTGCGCAATAAAATAATTGAGAATATTTTTGTCATTATTTTATGACTAAAAATACTATATAATAATCTACATATATATATATATATATATATAAATATATGTATGTAGTCAAAATTTTGGTTATATAAAGAAAATTGTAAAAAAAAATTATAGTATTAAGCATCTTTAACTTGATTATTTACAACTTGAATTTTATTACATGTTAAGCTATAATAAAAAATAATTCAAGAATTTAAGATTATATATATATATCGGTTGTCTTTTATTAAAAGTAGAACTCAATGCAATATTTTTAGATAAATTAAATACATGTCTAATGTGATATTTATTTTGATTGACTAAAGTTTCTTAGCAAAGCCATCAAGTTAGTGGCCAATTTTTACGCTACAAGTTACGTCCAAGACTTTTTGATATAATATTTTCTATGGATTTCTATTCTATGGAAATTATTTAAGGAAACGCAGGAAAAGCAGATTATTTATTAAGAATAACGTGATACTGGTATTCGAGATTTTTCATTAATATTTTAATATTTACATTCAAAAATATTAAATACACTTTATTTGAAAACGTAGAGCAATAAAAATTGGTATAAGGGCTTGAAATTTATGTGAGACTTAAATTTAACCATTAGATAGAAACTTACATGAAAAAAAACTTGTAAATCTGATCGTAATAAAAATGTGACTATAATAATTAAAGCTTTTCCCTAGTGAAGCGAAATAACAGTAGGTAGTAAAATTTTATTTTCAAAAGTATTTGCACGCGTTTTGCCTACAATTGCAATAAGTTTAGTCACTATCGAGATCTTAGCTATGATTGTCCAATATACGTGTAACATAAAGAAACTTACTTTCATAAAGTTATCCTAAGCAAGCTTACGATTAATTTTAAATATTTTATTTTTAAAAGAACATGCATGTTGTGTAATCTTCGGATAAATATATTAAATACTTATCTTTTTATCTTTCAGTCGTCTATCTTTGTCGTATCTCGGAATCCAATATCAAGCGATATCAAGAAGGCAAATTTATTTGTGTCACATACAGCATAAAGGCACCAATTTAATATTTAAAAGTAGATTATGGTGAGGATATTTGAAGGATACCTTGGATTGTAAAATGTATTCTGAAAAAATAAGAAATATTTAAAGTGTTATTTCAGAGATTGAAGATGCAAAAATACAGTCACAATTTATATCTCTGTGAATGAAAAATTATAAAATTAACAAGATAAGAATCTACGTTCCTTATAAAAAAAAGCTATTGACTTTGTTCAAAATTCGCATGTAAATGATAATTTTGTTATAACATATTAAATTAGCTACTGTCATTATTCTGTCACTAGAAATTTTTTCTTCCTCTTGATTGATATCACGATTATAACGCAACGTCATATAGCTTGCATGTGTTTTGATTTTTTTCAATGTATCAATATCGGCAAGATTTTGAAAATAAATTTGTTGTATACATACGTAACGTTAAAAATACTGTTTTTGCAGCTTTGATCGATGATGAAGATAAACTAAAAAGTGGTTATGTAAAATACATCTCAATGTGGTAATTTTTTATAAGACTTTATTGAAGTTATTTGGTAAAAACGAGTATTTTGAATTTATTTTCTTTATTTTGAAGAAATGTAGTTTATTTTTAGCGGTTTTAAAGAACTGCGGAATTGAAAATAACGTGCATGTATTAATCTACCAATGAACTATTAAAATTCAATGTTCCATGTAATTCAAGAAAAGTGGTTGTATTACATATATATATATATATATATATATATATATATATTTTTTTTGCATTTAATATTGCAGAATTTTAGAATAAAATGCCCGCTCAAAGCCTTGAGAATAATATTTTCATCAATAATGATTATTAAATGATCGATCATTTTAGTATCAAAATTATTAATTAGGTTTATCTGATTAGTTTAAGTAATTTCGAATTCTAGTTAAATTTAATATTCAGCGTCCGCTTAATTTATGTTTTCTTATGTTTATTCGTCTGATCAGTTGGATAGATAATGCACATTGTTTACAATAATTTAAAATTATTAATATATCAGGATAACAAATCAATTATTATAAGGACATTTTGATGCAAGTAGAATTGATAAAATAGAATAATAATTTGATTTTATACGTGTGAATGCTTAAACAATTGTTAATGATTACTGAAATTTGTATTAAATTTATAAAATAAAGTACCTGCAAAAATGTTTATTGAAATGTTTAAAATGATTAATCTAAAAATATAACTCGTATAGTATAAAAACTAGATAAAAATGACATACACAGCGTTAAATAATAATAATAATTGTTATTGTTATTATTGTTGATTTTATTATTATTATCATTATTTTAATTGTAAGTACGGATTGTCTAATAATTGGACAGCCGATAGATTTCATTTATATCAAGGATACACAAAATTAATAACGAAATATCTTCGTAATTCACCAAGTGCTTAAAAATAATAATTGTTAAAACGCGAATGACATATTATATTTTTATTATTATTAAACTATATCTTAGAGTCCCTGGCGTTAATCTCCGCAAAACGCGCCTATCGTTAATTATTATTTACATAAATTATTTAATATTATTGTTTAATATTATTATTTAATATCACTGCTGTTGTCGTCGTGGTTGTCGTTATCGTTGTCGTTGTCGTTATTATTAAGGATATATCGGCTAGTACTAGCCATCTAGGGCACATAAATTCTTTATATACTTATGCAGTACCATTTAATTATCCACTCGGAGAGCCTCGAACGAGATAAGACTTTAGCTGCGCACCGGGTGGCTATCACATCTTGTGACAGCAGCAAATTTCTCTTTCAAGTGCAGCTCATGCCGATCAGAAGCGGGCAATTGGAAATTAAATTGACGAACGTTTCAACAGCCGCGCAAGGGTCTCGCTTTCAAGCCAACAGGATTTTCAAAGACTCGCAGACGTAATCGTTTGCGATTATCTTCCTGATCCACTACAACCTAACAGTCCCCAATTTGACCAATAGTTTGCATCCACGTAGCGGCAAGGTTATGCAAATGGTGTCTATAGGCGCAGTTCGATATTTAAATATTACCTAACGACGTTCGTTTCTCGATATTTCAGGATGCCAGAGAATAACGCCGAGGAGTCCACGGGCCAGCCGCAATGCCGCCGGTCTGGACTTCGAGTGCCCTGAGGAATTTGGCTACTATCCGCATCCGCGGGACTGCACTCAATATTACGTCTGCGTCTTCGGCGGTGCGCTCCTCGAGTCGTGCACCGGTGGTCTCATGTACAGGTCAGTAGGGCATATACAACAGAGCGGGCATTGCCGGATAAATGTAAGACGAAAGCTTTCTAATTTGGCAATTTAAGGAATTTTTTCATCTCGACAGTTGAAATTGCTAAGTAAAGGATAACCGAGGGGCAGCTTGGAGTTAGTAAAGACATAATAAAGGGTCAAGTGCTGATTGTTAATCGTTACCGCAACATTTCGTCATGACTTGTTGACTTTCCGATATAATTGAGAAATTACGTGGATCCGGGAGTACGGGCGAGGCTTTATTATTACCTCTGTCATAAGAATTTATAAAACTGTTCCTATTTAGAATTCATAAATTTAGGGTCGTACGAGCAATTGTCCTTGTTATGCAACGCTCCTTTAATTATTCGACATGAATATCGTAATGCCTTAAGCGATCGCTTATCGTGATTTAATACTAATAAATGCTGTACTTGTAAGCCTCAAAAAATTTTTTTTTCTTTTTTTAATGCGCTGACATTGAACCAAGCATCCTACTACGAATTCTCTTACCGTAATAAGCTATATTTTTCACCTTATTTATTCGTTACTTTAAGCTTTTCAATCACTTAATGAGGTTAATCGATATTTAATTTTATGTCTTTCTTTTCGGCAAAAGGACGGCAAAAAGCAAGAAAAAAGAAATGAACGAGAAGAAAGTCAATGTAATGTTATAAGGAAACAATATTGTGAATTTTTAATGCAGAATGTTGAGTTACAGCTTATGAAATGGTTGCGTTAAAATAAAAAAATTTCACATCATTTGTCGTTTAACATTAAAAGTAAAGACTAAAAATTTCTGCCTAAAGAATCGTAGACGTAAATGCATAGGCGATAACGATCGTCCAGCGTACACTTGGTTAATGTAGATCGATGGAAATCATGTCCATCGATTGTCACGCGCTGAACAGAGATAAAGATATTCGTCTCATTGGCGTGACTTATATATATATCTCTCTTTCTCTCTGTCAGCGCGTGACAAACTTTTAGAAATCGGGCGAGCGCGACACAATTGACGTAATTTTGAAAGTGAATTATAAATTACGAGTATTCTTATGCAAGCCGTGCGATCCTAATTGGGCGGGAACGCGTTCACAAACTGGCCTCTTGGAAGAAAAACTGTTTGACGTTTTTTCTCATTCTTACTCTCGCATTTTCTCTCTCTCTCTCTCTCTCTCTCTGTGTGTGTGTGTGTGTGTGTGCGTGCGTGTGCGCGCGCGCAAAAATTCACGTGTTCGCTTTCAATTTAACTACATTTTATATGTACATTGAGTTAATATTATAGTCGTGAATTGAATCTAATTGCAATGTATTTTTCTCGATATGCAGCCGGGGATAATGCATTTATGATAAAGTATTTATCAATATCAGGTGTATTAATAATTAAAATGGAATTATGCGAATCGTCGCAAAAGTCGGCATGCAAAATGTCGAAGCGCGCCTTAAAGTCTGAGGAGAGAGAATTCTAGTAAGAGTGAAAGTGATCGCAAAAAGTTATTACAAATTTCTTCTGCATATGCACGTGCGAATTGGCTGTGTTTTGCCGTAGTTTGCAATACCATTTTATGAAAATGTAAAACAAACAAGATAACTATTAGTCATTGTTTGTAAATTCTTTTAATTTTTAATAGAAATTGAAACTACTTTGTATTGTCGTTTTGTAAGATGAAAATTCAAATCATAGAGCTCCTCGATTATTCCTGCCAAGATTTACAGATTTTTTAACGTCATTCTATTGTTATATAGTGGAATGCTATATACGCAAATATATTCTAAGGTGTGCAGGATATGTGAAATCTTAAATGATTATTAAATACGATAGCACAGCAAGTTCATTCATTATAAATCAAAATGGATGTTTAATAGTTGCAATAAATATTAACAATTCTCGATGGCAATTATTAAACCAAATGAGAAAAATAATTTTATTCCAACAATGGTTAAATTTTTACACATTTTTATTGATTAATAAATTATTAAGTATTTTGTGAATAAGCACATTTTAAATAATTCAATAATGCGATTTCAATTTTAGCTACTTCCAAATCGATGGTTTGGAACACATATGATTTCATAATTGGGCGAATCAACGTAAATTTCTTTTATTAATCTCAACTATTCGAGTATCGAAAAGTGCCTGGATTACCAATAAATTCTAAGTAATTTTCTTAACTGTGTATTTATTTTTGACTCGGGTACATAATAACAAAAAGAAAAACTGTATTTCTACCATTTATATTTAAAAAATCATTGCTTTATACGTCTATTTATAATATGTTACTTGAAAAAGATAAAAACAAAATAGCAATAAAAAAGATCATAAACGAATTGGAGATAAAAGATAAGAATGGTTTTGTTTTTTTTTCTATTAATATGCGTGGATGGAATAGTAGTCGGTTGCCTGTTTTATTCAGTATTCCGAGCCAAGAGCCAAATATAGTCTATTTCTTTTTGTTAGTCTTCCCCTCTCTCTTTCTCTTTGTACGTTATATACATATTTTTGTAACCCTAAACACAATTCTTCGTTACATTTGCTTAATCATTATGTAATACGCTTATCAGTGCTAGGACGGAGGGAAAACAGTCGGTAGATATTAATAAATCCTTTCAATTCAATTTTTCGCTATTTAAAGAACATTGCCAATAATTTTGAAAGCAACAACCTCGATCGATAAGCTAAAAAAAAATAAGTAAAAAAGAAACCGAAAAAGGAAAAAAATGGCGAGTTACGTAATTTAGTCTTTATAATCCTCGTTATCGACAACGTTCGAGTAAACAACGATTTGTTTTTGTTTCAATTAAATTAGCAAATCGAAATCTTGCGAGGGGCCGCATATGGGATTAAGCTCGTGGCGGCGTTTCATCGCGAAAATTGCGTCAGAGCCAAGACAAAAGTTTTAAACATCCAAATTTAATTGCCAAATCGGCCGAGCACATCCCAAGTCATTAATTGCATTATTATGTCTTGGGGATCCTTCGTTAAGGCCATCGCGAGCTCGGGATTCGCACTTTTTCGCACTTTCGCTCCGCGTGAAACGTACCCACGGAATTGGATGCGGTCGCACGCGACGTCATCATCGAGACCGGAAAAAGCCCAGAGTGCCGCGAACGCTTTTACGAGCATTTCCACGATCATGCGAATATGAGAAAGGAGTGGAGTGAAATTAGGTAGGCGGAAGTGCAAGTAAGCCGACGAGGCGCGCGCGCAAGAAACGAAAGTGCTGATGGATTATGTACGGGCGCGCGCGCGCGCGCCTTCCTCACGCCGAGTGGGGAATAAAAATAGCGGGGTTTTAGCGGGGCGACCGACTAACGGGCGAATAACGCTCGCCGTTCCCAAGGATCGCGCACATTATGAGATTCGTGAGACCGCGGAGCTCGCGATCGCTCGCACAGTCTCCCTTTAACAGCGAGACGCGTAAAGCCGAGAGCCCAAGGCGGACAGTTCGCCAGTTTTTCGCGGCCTCGAAGCCCAGCCAATTGCCGCCAAATCATCCATTACACGCGGCCTTCGCTCCATTAATTCCTTTTTCGATACGTAAATTGGCTTCAGCGACGGCGCGGGCCACGCCCCGTGGCTGCCGCAAGCAAGGGCGCCTAGGCGATTCGGATTTTCAGCACACAGGGCCGTCCGTCCGCCCGCCCAACTCGTTACCCACTTAACGGCCACCCAGCCTCCCATCAAACACGAGCGATCTCCGAGCTCGAGGGTGTCGCCTTCGGAGATCGCGGCCTTGCGCAACGCGGCCCGCTTTACGTCGGCTTAGCAGCACGGCTGCCCGTTCCCAGGCTCCGAGGTCGCCGGGCTTTCGCCAAAAGCCTCGAAAACTGAGCGGCCACGCCCCGACGTCGTCACCGAGAACCCGAGCTGCCTGTAAACATAAATCCAAGGCAAGCCAATTAAGTAACACGCAGCCGCCACGTCCGTGCCCCGACGCTTGGAATTCTCATTCCGCGTGTCTCCTCCGCACCTCCTCGTCATCGACGTATAAAAGCTTCGGACTTGCAACAACAACTAGCTAATGACGATAACACTTTCCGCGATATACTTGGCACGCAAACCCCAGACACTTAATGCGATTCACGATTAAACGTAACGAGCGAGTAGCGATAGAGACGTGAATTTCACTCGGAAGCTACCCACATTTGCGCTTTGCCGCCTCGCACTCGGCTCATCTTAAGCTCTTGATCCGCTCGTGCGTAAGTCGTCGCGATGAGGCGCGAGATCGGCAAAGCGAGCGCATTGAAAATTGCGGGATGTACGTGTCGAAAAGCCGGGGTAATCGCTTGATATAGCCGACAGACCACGAATTTCCCTCCTATCGGTATCCATCGGCTTTTCCGCCGTTCGGCAACTCGACTCGCTGAGTAATTACGCGTTACGGCGGCATTAGCGCACGCGCTACGCCGTAATGCCGATGACGATGAATTACACGCGAGCCAGAGTCGCTCGCGTGCCGCTAATCGCCTGCTAACGAATGCAAGAAGCGCCTCTTAGTTCCAGCACTTAGCTTCGCAACGTGAAATTTTCCCTCCTTCCCGGTTCTCTTCTTCTGTCGCGTCTTCTCGCTTCGAAGCTGACCTCTCCGCGGCGGCCTACGATCTTTTTCGCCTCGGCGACCTAAGCTTATCGACGAAACGTCCGTCCGGGTAGGATCGGTTGCTAGAAGACAACTTACGATACGCTACTTTAGTGCTGATTTTTCAGGCTCGGCTTTTACGAAATAGCGTTTCTTTCTTTTTATTTTCTAGTTTAATAGATAGATAGAAGAAATCATCTTACCTCTCACAGAGTTGATTATTCTCCATGAATTGTCATTAAATCATCATTGCGTGTTCACGAGTTCATTGTATTTAGCGGCTGCTCTTCCTACTTGAATTTCTATGCCAATAAGCTTGAGATTAAAGCGTAAAATTAGCTTAAAACTAAAAGGAAATGTAAATCAAAAAAAAAAAAAAAAAAATCAAAACTCTAGAGATTAGAATAAGAATGAATGAAAGGTCTTTAAATGTGAAACTTGCGACCAGAACTAATTTTTTCCTTGAAAAAAATGGTTACATTATAATTCATTTACATTGAATATTGTTCGAAATTTAATGTTTATTTTATGCTCGAACTGTCAATTCAATAGTTCAGTGGATTAATCTCTCGCCATAGCGATTAGGAAGAAAGAAGGCACAAGTGGAAGGGCTGAAAAGTATAATGTAATGTATTTTTAATTCAATTATTGTTTATTCTGGTTATGAATTATAATAATATTGTAGCGTTGTTGGTTGCTTCTGTTGAGATAGAGAATTATTCTATTGCAGTGGTGCGAGTGCTTCCTTGTGTTCTTGGATGTCGTTGATGCTATGGAGATTAAATGAGGATCTTCAATGTCGGTTTTACGCTGATGTTGTAGGGATCAGCATGAGTAGTCGACTATGCTCTTCAATGAGCACGGGAAGATGGTAATGATCGTGGTAATAGTAATCAATAAGAATTCGTAGAGAATTCTACGTATGTAGGAAGTAATTGATAGAAGAAATAATGTTACGTAATTCGAACGTACTCCACCGAAGAGTGGAAATATTTTAGTGTAAGTCACATGGATGAAGATTAAATCAGAATTAGTAGCTTCGGGTGCGAAAGGGACTTGTCACCGAGCTTGAATGGCTAAACTCGAGCCTCGATAATATAAGTACATGTAGAAGGTGGTTTTTACGGTTTCAGCCCTGTGTGGCCTTTGACAGCGTATTGTGTGGCTTTGTAAGTGTTGCGCGCAATTTGATTCAAATGTGAGTGACTAAATTTGTACAATTAATAGAGAGGAGGAGGTACCTTATGAATTACCGTACTGGGCCGCCAGTTTGGAGGCGTGTTTGGTTCACCTTATTGCATACGATCCCAATGGCTTCACTGTTCGATTGTTACCCTGATTGCAATATATTCTTAGAATGTCGCACGTATGCCCCTTTTGGATCGATTGTCGGAGATTTCGGTTGAAGTTCGTGCTGGCGCAAGTGATACTGATGTATGAACTGCACTAACTAATAATAACAAATCAATGAACGAGGTGTAGAATTACAATGAACAATAATTGAATTGATAGTAAAAAAAAAAACACCGTGATCCAGGTGCGTGGCGACTGAACGGATGTTAAAGGAGCATTGGGGCGGTGCGTGGCGCGCTGCGCTTAAATATTCGCGGCATAGCTTTCGAGGCCGGCAACAGTGCCGATGCCTGTTGCTATGCCGAAAATCGTTTGTGACGTCAGAGAAAGAGAGAGAGAGAGAGAGATAGAGAAGCTCTGGAATACTCTAGAAGCTTCATCGACGTTGCTATGCGGAAATATTGTCGTAAATATTAGACGTTACGGCGCAGGAAAATTCCTGGAATCGCTGAATCGTATTTACAAACAAGCGTTTGTAGCTCTCCCAATTTTAAATTTGAATTAAGCTGCCTCAATCCCGAACAAATATAAATATTTTCGATGCACGTATTCGATATATTTTTTACTAAACTATTTGTATTTCTGGGGTTTTTTTTTTTTTTTTTTTTTTTTTTTTTTTTTTTTAAATATATATTTATAACAATATTCATCGTAATTATTAATCATCGTGTAAAGAAATATTTCATTTTTCAAATTATTTTATACGTATATCGTTGTGTTTGTTTAGGTGCGAAGTATTATTTTCATTATAGTTTAAAATAAAAAAAAAACATATATATATATATATATATATATATATATATATATATATTGCACACTCGAGAGTGAAGAGAAATTAATCAATTTCCTTTGAATCCCATATTTTATTCAAAATTACAATTCCAATAACTTACAATATTTATGAAGCAACTCCATTTAAACAGAATTCTATACACAACAGAATAAATAGCAATAATACACGAAAGTTAAATTGAAAAAAAAATTAAAGTTGCGGGAGGGAATACTTGGAGCTCGAGTATGTTAGGAGCTGGGACCTATGGAAGTGATGAAATTACTAATCAACTTCAAAATTTACATATATTAATAATAACAATGAAATATTTTGTAAGGCAAACTGATTTTGCAAAGTATAATAAATATAAATGTAACGAATGGATAGTCTATCGCTAAAAGGTCCATGCCACTTTTCTAGATACTAAGATTCCTTATGAAAACGATCAATAACAGATAAGTTAATATTGGATTTATTTGAAAAATAACGATTGGATTTTTAGAATTTTCATTAATACTTAAAATTAGGTCATATGCTGAGGTAAGTCCTTGTAAGTTTTAATTGGCTATGAAACTCAGAAAGTATTTTGCTTCTTCATTCTGCTTAAATAATATTTCATCAATAATTCCGCAATGTACTACTTAGTTAAAGATTTGCTTTAAGCGAATAGTTTTGATTCAACTGATCGATTGAATGGGAATGGCTGCCCTATCAATAATATTCTTAATTAAATTGAATAAAAATGATCGAATATAAGACAAGCTAATTGTATCGATTAACAACAATTTTTCTACCCAACTCTCATAATGATTTCTTTCAATCGATTTCATAAAAATAATTAAAGACATTCCACGTTATACTGGCAGCAATATAGCATAAGATATTACTAAAACAAATCGGCGCTTTCTTTTCTGCCAATGAAATAAGTTAAGTGCTAAGGGGATTGATCGATTTGTTTAGCGGCAGTCGTCCCTCAAGTGAAAGGTCATTTCATTTTTCATACGGATAATATTCGATGAAATCATCGATCGCTAAGTACTTTTGCCATTCTAGACTCGCGAATCAAAATTTATCCATCCTAAAAATTTCTTACCTGATTACGAAAAAAACAAAAAAAAAAAGACTAAAAGGCCCCAAAGTTCAAAGTGGATAAGCACGAATGTAGGCTAAACAAATTGTTAACCTACCTTCATATTAATAGTACATAGATCCCGAACTTGCGCATATACGATCGATTATTTATAATTCCGATTGCCTTGTTCGCATTGAAACAAGTGTGAATCTGAAACTTATTATCGTCACAAAGATTGACGTTCTCTTAAAAACTAACCGTTATTTATTTTTTTTTTTTATTCACCTCCACAGTCACGAACTGCAAACTTGCGACTGGCCCCGTAACGTTGGCTGTCCTGAAAACAGCTCTCCTTCCAAGGACATTGACGAGGATCCACTGCTCGAGAGGTAAGATTTCTTTTTCTATTTATCCCCGTTTGTCCCGCTTTTTCGACTTCGATGGTGCGACTTTTCTTTTAGAAAGCCATCCGCTAGCCTTGTGCCTCTATATTAATACGTGAAACAATTCCGCGCAATATCGCTTAAACCTCAGCAATTAATCTTACGCGCGAGCAAGTGAAAAGGTAGGGAAATTAAATACAGAATTAATGCAAGAAAATTGATTTCAATGGCTCGATCCGCACTAGTGTAATTGAAACTGCGAACATCGTGGCTCGCTCCGACGGCTTCACGATATTTGCAAAATCTTTGGGCGCCAGCTCAAGGTATTTTTATTGTATAAGGGACAAGACAAAAAAATCTAAGAATTTTAGCTGAACGCTGACTTGTGGGAATGGAGAACAAAAGAAAAGCTCATTATACAAAGCGATAAAGAATTTTATAATGAAAACTCACAAGTTGGCCATTAATAATGCTCTTTACGTTAATCATTAGAATGATGTGAACATTTTCAATCTGATGTAAAAGTGTAGATTGCGGGCAATAAATTAATCCAATAGTTTTAATTAAATTTAAAAAAAGTGAGGTAATGATTTTATTATTCATTTATTATCATTTACCGGATCAATTAACATTTTAACATTTATAATCTTTATACAAGATATTTATAGATATATATATATATATATATATATATATAACTACCACTAATTACACATTTTAACGGCTTCATAATTAATCTTTGGTATGATAACGGACTTTTTTCACATACAATAGGTATTTGATTTTATAATTATTTTATATGACATATAGGAAATTGAATTGAAAATGTTAAATAACAGTATTAAGTCATCATATCTTAAAAGATTTTTATTTCTTTTAACACAGACAATTTTATTCTCTCACTGACATGAATTAAAATTAATAGATATATTAATCTTGATATTTTTGAATAAGTCATTTGTATCATAAATTTAGATTCGGATTAGCCAGCTTTTTTACCTTATTATTAAATTACATTTATTGTTATTTTTTTTTTTTAAGCTCAAATTAATTATAAAGAATTGATAATATACATTAGCTAAATAATTTTTTAGAATAAACATGGATTTTTATTGTTAATGTATTTCAATTTTCATCTCTTGAATGTAGTTATGAATTGTGTAATGTAATAAAAAAAATGTTGGTACTTTTTATAACATTGAATATACAATAGTAACTTTATTTGGAATATTATGTACAAATTGTACATTTTAAGATAATAGAATTAATATAGAACATTTATGGTTCTACCGCGTGACATACACAATTTGATTTATAAAGAGCACCTATGGTAGGTATTACTTGTTTACTATTATTCATTAAACTTTCGTCCAGTGATTCTCAATAGTTTAGGTTGCCTATTAAATAAAACATTTGAAATATACATTTCACTCAAGCAAATACATACGGTGTCACGAGTGTATCAAAGATAGTATTCTATTTTCGTTATTTGTTTATATAAACATTCGTTAAAACGATAGTCTCTGCATTGCATAAAATAATATTTGTAAAGTCAATCAATGATGATAATGATAATGATAATGATGAGACAAATGATAGAGCCTTCATTAGCATTACGTTGACAAGTTATTTACACTTGTAATATCTTAAAACAGGTTTTTGTAATATTTTGGCAGAATATAAGAATAAAAGTATGAATTGGACAACTATTTTCTTGATTCACTACAGTCTGTCGATAAAAGTAATTAATCATCGAGTGCTACCAAGAAGATAATGTAGATGATATACCGTTAAACCAAGGGGTTTACTTTTCCTTCTTCTCTATAATTTTCTTTCGACCGGCAAAACAGCATAAAATAAAATCTCGAATTACATAAGATAATTAATTATACGAGTTGGTAAAGATTCTCTTTTTTCTTATTTATTTATTTATATGCTTAAATTCACAGATATACAAATTAGTAATTACTATGATGAATTCGCTTTAGCCTAATGTTTACTTTCTGTGTCACTTTGCGCAATATAAATAAAACTTTATATATATGCTTATGCTCTGTGTATGTGTGTGAAAAGGATTTATCAATTTTTTTTAAATTATCAATGTTTTAAAATAAAATATTTTTCAATATTTTTACCTTCATCAACAAAATGATTTTATAATTATATTTTTCGGCCATTCAAACCGTTTCAATATACAAAAAATCGAATTTCTCAAGGAAATGATTTTCACATACCACATAAATTATAATTTAATTATAATATAATATAATTTAATTGTAAATTATAATTGTGGTGGAAAATTAATTATCCAGATTATGCTGTTAAAGCAGCATAGGTATGTATTATACATATGCAAAATGCGTAAGATATAGATTAGGTGAATTGAACGACAAGTATTATATAATAACAAAGACAGAAAAAATTCACGATTGCGCTCTATTTGAATGAAAACAATTACATGAAATTTCAATTTGAGTGAATAGCTTACAAAAATTAATAAGTAAAATGGACTCTTAATCGGCAGTATAAACACATAAAGTCATAAAGTAGAATTATTGAAACACAAAAGAATTATCTTTAGGATCCGATGTATCTTGCTCGTGGGTATATTAATGCACGATTTCGTAAGTTATTTCCGTGACATGAGGCAAAGGCCGACACGAAACTCAATAATTGCAACGGACTTGGTGTCTCATCATGGCCCATTCGTCCATCAGCCAAGAAAGACACAGAGAGAGAGAGAGAGAGAGAGAGAGAGAGAGAGAGAGAGAGAGAAAGGAAGCAAAGAAAAGGGAACACGGATCTTCGGATACTTTGAACCCAACCCAACTATCGATCTCGATTTCACCAAGATTTTCGTAAGCCTCATTACGATTAGCGAGTGAATCAAGCCCTGGATAGTCTTCTTTGGGCCAAGGTCGATCCTTAATTTTTCTCACGAACAATTGGAAAGTCTTTAATTCGAAAGAATTGAATATGTTAATAGTAAATTCTTTGAATGAATAAACGTTTTCGATCCCAAGACAAAAACATTTATTATGAAAATTATTTCATAAAAATATAAAAATCTTAATAGCATACAACAATACATTATAAGGCTAAGGATGTAGATTATAGAAAAAGGAATTCTCGATAATGTCGTTTTGTACAAAAAAAAAAAAAAAAAAAAAAAAAATAAATAAATAAATAAATAAATAAATAAAATGAAATAAATAAAAGTATAAATGTTGGGCTATTAATATACTTTTGTACTTATTTTTTATTAAGTATGAAATGGAAAGAGTAAAAAAATTGGTAAATTAATGAGAAACCGTAAACATTCGAAACAAATAACACATTAAAAAAAATTATAAAGTCCATTATCTAATAAATATTTAATTAATCATTAAATGTTTCATTAGTTTTAAAACTGATCTGTTAACTGTTTCATTATATCAAATATGTCCATAAAAACCTATTGTTTGAAAATATTATATCTTTGTCCGACGATGATGTCATCATAAAAACTATCAATAAACAAGTAATACTATTGGTTAAACAAAAATTTACACCATTGCGTAGCTCCGACATTGCGTACAAACATGACTAACGCGAAACTTACGATTGTGCTTTTATTTTATAATGCCAAACACAGCGTGTCTTGCCGTAACATAAAATGCCATGGAAGGTCGGTTGCCGACCTCACACATTTTTTCAACTAGAATACATGATTCGTTAGCTTCGTCAAGCCGTATTGTTTCCTCGAAAATAAATAACAAACGTAAAAATCAATGTGATTGATAGATTGGACGGGCAGCTCATTCGAAGCGAATGTCTCGTAATCGCGGTGAACGCGCGCTAAAAACGTTGCACGCATCTGCTATTTCATGCAATAATAGCCGTTGCCCAAGCAGTTTCAAACTTCCTTTCATTCCGATGCTCGATTCATCAACTCTCCGCCGACCACAACAAAGCCATAACGATTTCGCACCTCGATGATGCGATATGAATTCCCCTCGGAATCTGCGCAGATAAGAGGATCCTCGATGTCGACAGGTCGCGAAACTGCGCAGCCACGCCGGAAACATATAGCGAGATGCGGGTTTTACGTCAAAAGGGAAGATTTCCTCGGCAATCTCGACGCATCGGTGGAAAGAGAGAAATAGCCGTGTAAAAGTTGAAAACAATTGAAACCGCAAGGTCTCTCGTCGCGAGCGTAACGCTTAGCGCCTTGAGCAATGCATTCGCTCGGGCGCGCGCGCGCGCGCACGCACGCACACCTAAGAACACCAAATTCGGAATGAGCTTTTCCATTTACAGCGAATCACACGGATGAGTCTTCCGAATCGTTAAATTTCTACGTACTCACTTTGCGCATGCGAATTTACGACTTCCCACTACCACTTTTTGTATCATTCTCATGCATATGCGCGCAAACGCTATTTTAATATGTGCGATAACTTCGAGTCTTGCGCGAGATGAAAGAATTGTGGTGAAATGGGGCTTGCCAACGGAAACTATTACTTTAACAGCTGTGAATTTAGAATGAAATTGTTTCATCTAGGAAGGGAATACCTGAAAATTTTACTACATATTTTTGTATTTCAATTTCCCGTATTAATATTACGAGGGCATCAAAATATAATCTTCTTATATACAATTTTTCTTCATAAATACCATTAAATTTTTAATGCACATCCTCCCATAAAGCTGCTCTTATTTTATTTCTAAATTCAAAAGCATATTTTTAAGAAAATTTTTTTTTAATACTATATTCAACTCTCAAATGTCCATTCCGTAATGATTTTTTTAGCATACAATTGAATGAAACCTTTGTGTGCGTGTGCGTGTGCGTGCGTGTTTATGCGTTTATGTTTTAACTAGGGCAGTCATAACACATCAGTATTAAAAAAAAAAAAGAAAAAAAAAACACCCGAAACCATTTTCTAAAGTTTTTAATATGAAATAATCTTTGAAATATATAGTTTACAATGTAATGTTTATCGATACGAAAATTTCGCCGCTGATTGCGTATTATCCCTTTTTTTCTAAGATTTAAATCTAAATAGTGATTCAACACTTTAACGTTATGTCACTTAAAATTATCGTTGCAATTGATAAATAATATATACGAATATCAATAGCTTCTCAAATGAAACAGTCAATGTAAATCAACAATCTTTGGTATGAATTTAATAATTAAAGAGTTTGCGCGTTTCAATAACGTCCAAAAAATATTTCATTTGTCTGAGAATT